CAGGTCGGCGTCCAGGCGCCCAGGACGGCGTCGCCCTCTGCAGCAGATCGGCTGCGCTCCCCGCACACCCGCTAATGAAATCGGCTCCGCCTAAGCGAGGACGGGGCTAACACACAACTCACGTTGAAACTGCATTCATGCCGGCACGAGCGCCGTTTTTCAGAACTTGAATGAAATAATGAGGAGAAAAAGGCCCTAGAGGTCTTTATATAGCGAACAGAAGGGAACAGAGGTCTAGAGGGCAGAGGGAAGAGGCTCGGTTCCCATCTCTCTCTCGCTCTCTCAACACGCCATTTTTCAGAACCTGAACAAAATAATGAGGAGAACAAGGCCATAGAGGCCCTTATATAGCTAAGAGAATGGGGCAGAGGGCTAGAGGGAAGAGGCTCGGTTCCCATCTCTCACTCGCTCTCTCAACATGCCATTTTTCAGAACCTGAACGAAATAATGAGGAGAACAAGGCCCTAGAGGCCCTTATATAGCTAAGAGAAGGGGGCAGAGGACTAGAAGGCAGAGGGAAGAGGCTCGGTTCCCATCTCTCTCTCGCTCTCTCAACACGCCGTTTTTCAGAACTTGAACAAAATAATGAGGAGAACAAGGTCCTAGATGCCCTTATATAGCTAAGAGAAGGGGGTAGAGGGCTAGAGTGCAGAAGGAAGAGGCTCTGTTCCCATCTCTCTCTCGCTCTCTCACTTCCTCTCCCTATCTCCCACATCATTCACTTCCTCACCCTGTTTCCCACATCATTCACTTCTTCTCCCTGTTTCCCACATCATTCACTTCCTTTCCCTATTTCCCACATCATTCACTTCCTCTCTCTATTTCCCACATCATTAACTTCCTCTCCCTGTTTCCACATCATTCACTTCCACTCTTTGTTTTCCTCATCATTCATTTCCTCTCCCTGTTTCCTGCATCATTTACTTCGTCTCCTTGTTTCCTATATCATTGAGTTCCTCTCCTTCCCGGTCCTATGCATTCATATTTTTTTTATGATGATGTCACAAAAACAATTTCGTCCCCATCCCTCCCGTTTCCTGCTTCGAGTGAAGCACGTGTCCCATCTGCGTCTTACCATGCTCAACGGGAAATTAGTCGGGGACCTAGGAGCTTCGAGGAGAGTTGTAGTCAAGGCAGTGAGGTACGCCACTGTCCCGTTTGAGTCCCATTGCTTGCCTGTTCCGCTGGCACCGCTAACACTCTTGTTGAGTCACAATGACTTTTGTGATTATGCGACTGTGCGCACAATCCCATAACTATCTATATGTCCGCATGAACAACAGCTCTGTGCACTTCTGAGTCTTCCCGTCTTTGCATCTAATCAAAGCCGGGACGCACATATATCTGTAAGTTCGTAAGAAATTGCTGCGCGGGGTATTATGTTTTTCTTGCCTTATTGACAGGTACTCTTCAAAGTTGAACATCTTTGTCACTAAGATACTGATCTTGAACATCAAGGGAGGACAATACCCCGCCACTGGTTTCGCAAAATCTTGCTCCGATGGATCTCCCCCACCAACGGCCTTTTTTGTAAACATCACAAGACCCCATTCTCGTCGCAAGCGTTACAGCTTACAATATTATCTCGAGCGGGCCGTGCTCTTAGAAGACAGCGTTCGCTCGGCTGTCACTCAATTAGTAAACGCACCTCGTGCTGTGGTAGGGCGCGAAGGTAACAAGTTCGCGCTCTGTGGGAAGGTTGTGAAAGCGGTAAGTAAATAGCCTTATGGTTTCATCTAGTGGTATGGTCGTTGAAGGGTGGGGATATACGGCATGTGGGTGTGGTTATGTTTTGACCTAGACAAAAACCTTGTGCATGTTCTGGCTACAAATAAGGCTTGAATCCGCGACTACTATTCAAAATATATAGGACTCATGCAAAACTTGTGTCCAAAACCCATTGCACGAGCAAAAATACCGAGTTCTGAAGTCGTAACAAATTACAGTGAGATAGGGATGTTTTCACTCTACTGAACAAGTGACATATTGTTTTATCTCACATTTAGTATCTCATGACGAGTACAGGCCAGCCTTCCAAAAACGACTTCCCCCACACCAAATTACCTCGAGCTGCGAGAACAAGCACGGATTGCTTCTTAGCTGCTCTCGTCAAATCGCATCTGGGCCTTCACAGAGCGTCGTCGGGCGATTAGCGTCGCGCATTCCTTCATTCGCCATGGTACGTTCACCACTCACCGTATCTTCAATCGCCATATGTTCACTCGTACGTTCACTCACCTTGTCCGCGCCACATCCTATGCGTTTCGAGTCGACTGAATCACATGCGGCGTACCTTAGTAAGCGTCTCATGCTTCTCGCCGTAGTCATGCCTCGTACTATCATTCAACTCTTCTCTCATGCCTGCTGCTCTTCTCTCTTATGCATCCCTCTCTTCTTCGCCCTTTCTTCCTCACCCCGCCGCTTTTCCCCTCAGCAGCTCCGCCGTTTCCTTTCTCTCCATCTCGCGACCCTCGCCGCTTCGCCCCTCAACAGGCCAGCGACCGGGTCAACATGAGCAGCCAGCTGGAGCACATGCACCTTAACCCACCACTTTCGTTTTTCCTTATCTGCCCTTCCCCCTCACCGTCCGCCCTTTCCCCTCACCCTCCTCTGTTTTCCCTCAACCCCCGCCCTTTCCCCTCACCCTTCGCCCTTTCTCCCACCCTCCGCCCATCCATCTTGCACCAGCATCAGCTGCCAAATGGAGCACGAGGGTAGACCAAAACCTCGATTGCCTCAAAACAGCAGCGACTTTGCTTGCTCACCGCTGCGTGCCTGGGGGAGAAAAAAAAAATTGCTTGTGAAGGAACGAACGTTACAACTTGTCTCACAACTTTTGCAAGCTAACAAAGGCGTTTGCTTGTTAACAATGAGCTTGCGAACGCATGGCGCCTCGCGCCCTTGCGAGCTTGCTTGCTAACAACGAGCTTGGATTGCAGGGGGTATTTTTACCGATTACAAGAACTTATGCAGAGTTCAACCCATTTTGAGAATCGATGCAATATAGTTATTTTTTTCACTTGGTGCAAGGCCCGCCTTCTAGTGCTACCGCCGCGAGGGCGTGCGGCTGCGAGGGCGTGCGGCGTGCGGCGGCCGGCGGCCGCGGGGGCTTGCGGCGAGCGGCGGCTGCTCGCGGCTATAACCGCAACATACTTTCTTCCTTTTCCCATTTCCCCACCCCTTCTGGTGCTGATGTTCTCTTACATTCTTCCTTTCCCCTTCACCCGTCATCACCAGGCGAGTGATCGGTTCAACATGAGCAGCCAGCTGCACCACATGTAGCCTCGCCCACTCGCATTCTTTCTCCCTTTCCCCGATTTCCCACTTTTTCCTTGTCACCCCCCGCCCCCCATTTTTCCCCTCCCGTTATCACCAAGCGAGCGATCGGTTCAACATCAGCAGCCAGGGGGAGCACATGCAACTCAACCCACCGTCTCTTCTCCCTGTTCCACCCTTGCTCTCACCCCTCATCCCTCACCCCTCGCCCCTCGCTCGGCCTCAGGCGAGCGACTGCTTCAACATGAGTAGCCAGCGGGAGCACATGCAGCTCTGCCCACCCGCAATCTTTCTCCCTTTCCCGGTTTCCCCCCCTTTCCCCCGCATGACCAGGCGAGCGATCGCCAGTCAGCACATGCAGCCTAGCCCTCCCACGTTCTTCCTTCCTTTTCCCGCCTTCCGCCTCTTTCCCCCTCGCCCTTCACCCGTCACCCCTCACCCCCCTCACTTCTCACCAGACAAATGATCGGTTCAACATCAGCAGCCAGCGAGAGCACATGCAGCCTAGCCCACTGCCATGTCCCCTCACCTCTCCGCCCGTTACCCCTCACCCCTCACCAAGCCGGCGATTGGTTCAACATGAACAACCAGCGGGAGCATATGCCGCCTCGCCCACCCGCATTCTTTCTTCTTTCCCCGTTCCCTCCACCTTTTCCCTATCCCCCCCCCCCCCCCCCCCCCCCCCCCTCTCCCTCCCCACCCGTCATCACCAAGCGAGCAATCGGTTCAACATCAGTAGCCAGCTGGAGCACATGCAGGCGAGATACGTGGGCATGCTTCCCCACGCAGCCGTGCTTCCCCACGCAGCCGTGCTCCCCCACGCAGCAATCGCGCGTATGCAGTGTGAAATGCAACAAGTGTGCACCAAGCATCCACTCGGGCAGCTGGCCTTGCACGGGGCCTCCGCACACTGCTGGCCTCTCCACCTCTCAAGCTGCCTATGTCCTCCCCCACTCCCTCCCCATTTTACCTTGTTGTCGAAGCAAGCGAGCAGTGAGAACTCACAGGGACAGCTACGGATCGTATTTGGGGCACCGCACCACCTACTCCTTGCCTTCCTTGCCTCTTAATCCACCTACTTCCTTCTCCCCGCCCTCCCCTTCTCCGTTCCTCAATGCTGGTGCTGGTGCTATGGCATGGTGACATGTGAGCATTGGGCGCAATAGGTACTACTTCATGCAGGTTCTCTGGGGCTGCTTGTGTAGCCTCTGTAGCTAGTGTAGCGGGCACTGTTGCATGGGAACAGCATGGTGGCATGATGACATGGCGGCATGGTGGCACGGTGGCATGGTGGCGTGGTGGCATGATATCTTGGTGGCATGGTGGCACGGTCATTTGGTATTAATGAATGTGCCAACTTCCATCCATATGTCGTATTAGGTAGCTCAAGCTTGATACATGTACGATCTACTCCGTGTTCTCCTAAATATTCTCGATGACTAGCACCGTCTGGTTGGGTGGCATGGTCGTGTGCTATAATCAAATGTGCCAATTTCCGTATGATGTTGGTACATGTTCCATGCGTAGACATGCTTTCCTGAATATTCTTGTTGACTCGCACGGTCTGGCTGGGGGGTGTCTTTTCAAAACCTCATAAATGGATTAAAAAAGCTCATGTGGAGATTTGTATTCCTCTTAGTTGACTCCCTCCCATCACTCCCCACCTCCCTTCCGTGTGCCTCTTTTCCTTTACTCCTTCACCCCTCCACGCCTCCACTTTTCCACTACGCATGTTGCTGAAAGAGGAGTGAAGGCGTGGAGGAGTGAAAGGCGTGGAGGGGTGAAGGTGTGGAGGGGTGAAGGCGTGGAGGGGTGAAGGCGTGGAGAGGTGAAGGCGTGGAGGGGTGAAGGCGTGGAGGGGTGAAGGCGTGGAGGGGTGAAGGCGTGGAGGTTTGAAGGGGTGGAGGGGTGAAGGGGTGGAGGGGTGAAGGGGTGGAGGGGTGAAGGGGTGGAGGGGTGAAGGGGTGGAGGGATGAAAGGGTGGAGGAGGGATGAAGGGGTGGAGGAGGGATGAAGGGGTGGAGGGATGAAGGGGTGGAGGGATGGAGCGCAGGCGGGATGAAGGGGTGGAAGGATGGAGCTGAGGTGGATTGCAAGCTGCTGCCATGTGGATTGCCACTACACTACGATGAGGAGTGAGGTGAGGTGAGGGGACTGGCACTGCTCACCTCCAGCACGCATTCACAATACCTGCTCTCATGACGTGTGTGCTGCAGTAGGCTGGGGCATCCCAATAGCGCCATGCGAGGCTGTGCATATACCGTACCTGGCGATAGTGTATCATGGAATGGGGTACCATAAATGTTAAATTGTTTCGCTATACATTGTTTTCCCTCAATGTTGCACATTGTTTTTTATCTTCAGGACCCTTCATTTGTGCGTACGGTACAACCTGCAAAAATCATGGGGTTCTTGAGAGCATTTGAGCATGGGAGCAAGGAAGCAGACGGAGGGGAGCAGGGGAGAATGGGGTGGGGATATTGAACCATGGGAGTATGGTAGTGTGCGAACATGGGATGGGAGCATGGGAGCATGGGAGCATGGGTGCATGGGAGCATGGGAGCATGGGAGCATGTAGTACGGAAATATTGGAGGATGGGTTGCCGGCTTGCATTCCATGTGGGAGGGAGTATTGTGCTGTGAAGGTCGCAGCTCAAGTAGTGTATATATCACTCACTCCCCCCTAAGGTGTAGTTTGCTGGCAGGTGCAAATACCGCACGTGGCACCGGCGCAGGCACAACGTCTAACTGTCCAGGCCGCCGGGATCAAAGACTTTGCAATTGAGGCTGCTGGGTTGAAGTGTACACTTCCAAGAGGCCGAATCACCTCGGTAGGAGTAAAACTTTGCTATTCAGTTGTGTACCTTGATAGTTGATTGTCACTCAAACATCTACACTGGTAGGCAATGTTCAATCCACCAACAAGAAACTACATGAGACAAGCAGAATGGTCACAGACTAAAAGGTCCAGGCAAGAGCACACCAGCAGCAGCTTCCCTTCACTTCAGCCTTGTTAAATGAGGGCCCGTAGCTCTCACTTCAGAGGAAGTTAGCAGCTCACTTGCTGAGCCACACCTTGGCCCTTGCCTCCCTACTCCGCCTCTTCCCCTGCAGCCCGGCTTGCTCCCACTCCCGCCCTTGCTTTCCCACGCCTCACCTGCCATTTCCCTTGCTCTCCCGCCTTCCTGCCCTCCCCTCTTCGCCCCTCCCTACTCCCTGCTTCCCCTGACCTCCCTGGCACAACCTTGCAAACTCTCTTGTGTTGCCTGCTCGCCCAAACACTCTGCGCCACCAACCATCCGCATCCTCCCCAAGCCCTCCCTGTCCGCCCCCTCCTCCTTCATCCCCTTGCTGCTCACCCTCCTCCCTCACCTCACTCCTTCCCTCCTCCCCTCAACCACGCAGCACTTCACCTCTTCTCCAGCCTCTTTCCAAGCCTCTCCCTCTGCACTCCCCAGCCTCGCTCCCATCTATGTCCCCATCGTCAGCTCCCCAATCTCATCGCCCTTCCCTACAACGTTTTATCCCCTCCCCTGTTAACCCCCTTCCCTTCCTCTCTCCCTCTCTCCTCGCATTCCTCCTCTCCTTCCTCGTTCCCCCTTGTTTCCTCCTTGCTGCATCTCATCCTCCCCCACAAAATCCTCCTCCCCCACGGACTCTACCTCCCCTACAGACTCTACCTCCCACACAGAATCCTCCTCCCCCTCGCCTTCTTCTTCCCCCTCGCCTTCTGCTTCCGCCTCGCCTTTTGCTTCCCCATCGCCTTCTGCTTCCCCCTTGCATTCTGCTCTCCCCTCGCCTTCTGCTTCTTCCTCACCTTCTGCTTCCGCCTCGCTCTCCTTCTCTCGCTCTGTTCACCACGTTCAACCCAAGCCATCCGCTCCACCACCTCTGATAGCACTCTGTGCGTCCATCCCCCACTCCCTCGTCCATCCCCCACTCCCTTTCAAGCTTCTCGAGGTGACATTTGAGTCGACTCAAAAGTCTCCCCCACTCCCCTTCGCCCTCCTCGACTGCTGCTGCTCCCACCCACCCGCCTTCCACTGCACCTCCCCTTTCTGCGCACCTCCCACCTCCTTCCACGCCCTCTCCTCCATCAACTCCCTCCTGTCTGTCCCCCACTGCACCTGCCTGTCCCCCGCTGTGTACATGGGCATCGTCCCCGTCGCCCCCGTCGCTCCTGTCGCCTCCATCGCCTCCGTCGCCCCCGTTGCCCCCGTCGCCCCCATCATGTACGAGGACTGACCGCCCCATTCGCGCCGCTCCCGCTCCACGAGGACGGACCGCTCGCACACGCCCACCTCCGTGCCCTCTCCCACCGGCCCGCACCCGCGCACATCTACGTGGCGCAGCCCCCTCTCGTGCGCCAGTCCCGCAGGAAGCTCCGCCAGCGTGGAGCACCCGTCCAGCAGCAGCGAGTGCAACAGAGGGAGCGCCGCGAGGTCACACGAAGCGCGTAGAGAGACGCGCAAGGCAAGAGCTTGAACACGTGGAGGCGGGTAGGCGGGAAACGGCGGCGGGGAGGCGGGAGAAGGCGCTGGCAGTTGCAGACAGAGAGGTGCGCGAGGCGCGCCTGAAGGAAACCGTCTCACTCCTAGTGACGCCACAGATTCTACTTGGCGAGTTAGGAACCAAGACTAGGATCGTTCCGACGGGCTCAGAGCAAGGAATCCGTGGCACTTTGAATCTCTGTAATCGCTTGAGAATTGAAAGAGATACTTCTTATAATGCAAGGATGGGTACAAGTGACGAGTTGAAGTTAACTCTCTGGATTTGCTCTCTGGTTTTATAGCTAAAACATGCAAGCACAATTGTAACATCGAACCGCGCGCGACTCACCGGAAATTCGGACTCAGGATCGCGTCCAATTTCCGCGACGTCCGCGTTCACAATTTCGGACTTTTGCCGGGTTCGTTTCTTCACGCCGACAATCGTGTGTTACAAGGAACAATAGCGAGTGTAGCGAAATGTTCGTAACATTCGCTTGCCAAGTGTCGCCCCCACAAATATTCGGACCCAACCGGGGGAGGTTCGGTTGCGTGGCGACGCGGACAATCCGCCGTCACCCCAACCTTCCAAGAACGAACCCTCCCTTGGTCCGAGTCAAGGGAGGTCTTTCGCGTGGGGGGCAATCCCGTCCCCCACACTTCCAACACTCCCCCTTGCACCTCACGCACACCTAAGCATGCAAGCCTACCCTAGCACAACATGCATGAAGAGCATCTCTAGGCAATGGCTTGGTGAGGAAGTCCGCGGGTTGCATGTTGGTCTTGATGTAACGAAGCTCGACTTCGTCGTCTTCAACGAGCTTGCGAATGAAGTGATGGCGGATTTGAATGTGCTTGGTCCTTCCGTGGAGGACCGAGTTCTTGGCTAGGCCAATGGCGGCTTGGTTGTCCACGTAGATGGGAGTGGGGCCTTCTTGTTGGTGCCCAAGCTCGGCAAGAAGGCGCCTTAGCCAAACCGCTTCCGTACCACCACGAGTGAGCGCCACGTATTCCGCTTCGGTGGAGCTAAGTGCAATCAAGTTTTGGCGCTTGCTTTGCCAACTTATTGCACCTCCCACGAGGGTGAAGATATAGCCCGAAGTGCTTTGGCGGGTTGAAGGATCTCCCGCCCAATCCGCATCGGTGTAGCCTTGTAACACCACGGGTCCCTTCTCGTAGTGCAACCCCATTCGAGTGGTGCCCTTAATGTAGCGAAGAAGGCGACGTGATGCTCGCACATGCTCGACCATGGGGTTGGAGACGACACGTCCAAGCACTCCAATGGGAAAGGAGAGGTCGGGCCGAGTGCTCACCGCGGCATACATTTACGACCCAACGACAGAGTGAAAGGCCTTGGTGCTCTCGGGATCCATGGGGTTCTCATCTCTCACGGTCAAGGGATGAAACCCCGCTTCCATGGGTGTCGGTGTAGGTTTGCTCTCGATCATGCCGAAACGATCCAAAACACTCTCCAAGTACTTGTGTTGGTGGAGGGCGAGGGTCTTGTTCCCTCGATCACGATCGATGTGCATCCCTAGTTAGTGGGAGACGGCGCCGAGGTCACGCATGGAGAATTCGGCGGCAAGCTTCGTCTTCATGTCCGCTACAAGGGTCTTGGAATCCGACACGAGGAGGTCATTGACGTAGAGGAGAAGAACGAGGTTCTTCTCATCCTTGTTGAGCACGTAGAGCGCGTGGTCACACTCGCTCCGCACGAACCCCAATGAAAGCTAATGTTCGTCGATCCTCGTGTACCATGCACGAGGGCTTTGCTTGAGGCCGTAGATCGTACGCTTGAGCTTACACACGCGGTCGGAGTCGTCGTCGAACCTGGGAGGTTGCTTCATGTACACCTCCTCCTTGAGACGACCATAGAGAAACGCCGTCTTCACATCGAGTTGTTCCACCTCCAAGTCGAATTCTCCCGCCAACGCCAAGAGGGTGCGCAATGTGGCGGACTTGGCGACGGGAGCGAACGTCTCGTTGTAGTGAAGACCCTCCTTTTGAGTGTACCCTTGAGCCACCAACCGCGCCTTGTACCGCTCCACTTCTCCATTGGGGCCGAGCTTCTTCTTGAAGACCCAACGAGAGCCAACGAGGTAGGCGCCGGGAGGCATGGGGACAAGCTCGTAGACGTCGTTCGCCATGAGCGAATCGTACTCCTCTTGAAGCGCACGCTCCCATTCCACCGATTCCGCTGAGCTCATGGCGCCTTGGTAGGTGGACGGGGTGTCGGTGTATGCCTCAAGACACATGGCATCTCCCCCTCCCTCATCGTCCCCCGCCACAAGAGAATAGCCATCATACTTGGAGTTGGGATGAGGGTTCCGCCGAGTGCGAGTGGATGCGAGGGTGGGAGTGATAGTAGGAGGAGGAGACGAAGGGTCATTTTCTTTGGCATTTCCTTCATCCCCACTCACTCCAAATGCACCCGATCCAGTCTCCCCCTCATTCGTACTAGGAGGAGAACCCGTAGGAGCTTCATCCGCCTCATCCACGGCATCCAAGGGAGGAGGGATGATGATGACCGAGGGCACAGTCATGGACTTGCATGGGAAGGTGTCTTCATAGAACACCACGTCGCGCGACACCACGATCTTCCCGTGCTCCAAGTCCCATACACGCCATGCCTTGTGATCCGCGCCTGGTCCCAAGTACATCGCCACGCGTGCCTCAGCCTCAAGTTTGGTCCGTGTGACGTCGGGTACATGATAGTAGCATGTACACCCAAACGTGCGAAGGTCGGTGACGTCCGGCTTCGTACCGCTCCAAGCCTCAAGAGGAGTCTTTGTTGGGCAACGCCTTGGTTACGCACCGGTTGCGAATCCATGTTGCCAACGTAACCGCCTCACCCCACCAATGCTTCTCCGCGTGAGCATGGGAGAGGAGACTCCGTGCCGACTCCATGAGCGTACGGTTCAAGCGTTCGGCGGCTCCATTTTGTTGAGGCGTATACGGCGTCGAGAACTCATGCGCGATCCCACGCCCTTTCAACCAATCGCTGAGCTCCCGAGCGGTATATTCGCCACCTCCATCCGAGCGAAAGCACTTGACCTTGAAGCCGCTTTCCTTCTCCACATCCGCCACCCATTGCTTGATGACGGTTGACGTGACGTCCTTGTGCTTGAGAAGTCGAATCCAACACATCCGCGTCGCCTCGTCGAGGAGCGTGCGGACGTAGCGCGCGCCGCCCTTCGACACGGGAGTGATGGGTCCGCACAAGTCCGTGTGAACGAGCTTGAGAGGTTCGGAGGCATTCGGCTTCGTACTTGGTGGAAAATGCTTCCGTGCCATTTTCCCTTCAAGGCAACCGACACACTTCTCGTCGTCTCCACTCAAGCGCACAAACTCCAAGCCGTCGACAATCCCCTTCATTGCCATAGCTTGAATAGCGGCGAGGTGTAGGTGGCCAAGCCGATTATGCCACGTTGAGAGAGTGGTTGTCGAGGTAGCCGCTTGAGCCGATGCCACGCTAGGGAGAGCGTCGAGCACGAAGAGTCCACCCGCTTGGCGTGCCGTGCCGATGTGTACTCCGTCCGCCATGCTCAACGCCATCATGGTCCCTTCAATATTCACACGCATCCCATTGCATGTGAATTGGGAAACGGAGAGGAGGTTGGCGCCGAGCCCGGGAACCACCAAGACGTTCTTGATGGTGAGTGGACCGCCGTGTGAAGATAGTGTGTAGAGTTAGGAGCCATAGCTAGGTAAGTCCTAGCTAGGCAAGAGAAGTTTAGGCAAAAGAGGAGGGTTTTCACTAGCAGCAATGAGGATACATATAGCAAACCCTAGATGGGTTGTACTCGCTATAGAGCACCCCACTACAGGCTAGAGAATAACATTCTGACACACCCCCATAGCCAAAGTGGGGTGTAATCAGTACAATGAGCAAGCAGGTATAGAGCAGGAGTTCACAAAGGTAAGCAAAGCTAGAGCTAATCACAGCGGGCAAGTGAGGAGGAGGAGGAGCTGTGGAGGTAGAGAAGATGGGAGGCAACGACTGAAGCTGCAGAGGCACGGGCACAGGAGCGGCTGACTCAGAGGCTACCGAAGCAAGGGCGACGGACTACTGGAGTAACTGGCTCGGCAGCTATAGAAGAGCGGCAGGAGCAACGGACCCACTGGCGACTGGTGCAGCAGGCTCACTGGCTACCGAAGCAAGGGCGACGGACTACAGGCGCTGCAAGCGACACGACAGGTACCTCCACACAACCTCCTCCAACTGCCCCACACCCCCGACACACACCCATTGCTCAAACCCTAGCTCCACTCCCACGCACCCCCCTAAAACCCTAAACCCCAGTCTCCCACTCATCCACCCCCCTTAGTGACAGCTGCAGCAGTGGGAGACAAAGGAGGAGGAGGAGAAGGGCACGGCGCGCACAACGGACACCCCCACAACCACCACCCCCACACTCCTCACCCCCAAACCCTAAAACGGGTGGGATAGGGGCAGGAGCGCGGGGGACGGAGAGGGGGGGGAAGGCGCGCGCCTCTAGGGCGCCAGAACGGACGGGTGGGGCGAGGGAAGGGGCGTGGCGCGCGCTGCTCCCCTGGGCGCCGCGACGGACGGGCGGGGGGGACGCGCGCGCGGCTCCCCAGGGCGCCGCGACGGCCTGGCGGGGCGCGCGCGGCCTCCCGAGGGCGCCGCGACGAGCTGACGGGGCGCGCGCGGCCTCCCCAGGGCGTCGCGACGACCACGCAGGGCGCCCGCTGGCTCCCCAGTGCGTCGCGACCGACGGGCGGGGCGCTCGCGGGCTCCCGAGGGCGTCGCGACGGACGGACGGGGGGCTCGCGGGCTCCCCAGCGCGCCGCGACGGGCAGGGTGGGGGGCCGCGCGTGCTCCCCAGGGCTCCGCGACGGACGGGCGGGGCGCGCGCTGGCTCCCCCACAGCAGTAAACCGCCGCGCGCCTCGGGGCGCACGGCGGGCAGAAAACCGCCGCGCGTCCCGAGCGCGCGGCGGGATGAAAAATAAGAGGACGCGCACCACGGGGCGCGCGACACAGCGTAGGGCAGCGGAAGCAGTAGGAGGGCCCACAGGCCAGGAGCGTATGTGCTCTGATACCATGTGAAGATAGTGTGTAGAGTTAGGAGCCATAGCTAGGTAAGTCCTAGCTAGGCAAGAGAAGTTTAGGCAAAAGAGGAGGGTTTTTACTAGCAGCAATGAGGATACATATAGCAAACCCTAGATGGGTTGTACTCGCTATAGAGCACCCCACTACAGGCTAGAGAATAACATTCTGACACGCCGTCCACCATGAGCCGCAAATCGCCTTGTCCCGTGACGTCCAACGTGTCACGGTTGCCGAACATCACGCGCTTAATGGGAGCTACCGTTGTCACGTTGTTGAGAAGCAACGCGCACGCCGTCATGGGTTGAGTAGCACCCGTGTCGATTACCCACACGTCAATACCACCGACAGTCGTTCCACTTGCGACGAAGACGAACTCCCGGTCGTTGTTGTCGCATGTCGCCACATGCGCGCGCCGGTTGTCGTCACTTGAAGACGGCCTCCAATTTGCCGGTTTAACGGGCCAATCGCGCCACCAATGTCCCGTCTTCTTGCAAAAACGACAAGCACCCTCTCGCGCCCAAGCTCGATTGGCGTTGGCCGATCCTCCTCATGATGAGCTTGAGGTCGCCGCGCTTCGTTCGAACTCCCGCGGTTGTTGCCGTCGTTGCGCCGCTTGAAGTGACCCGTCCCTTTCGCCTTCGCATCACGGGAGAAGTGTGCCGCACCGATTGCATCGCCATGCAATTTCGTGCGCCTTGCCTCTTCATTGATGAGGCGTGCCACCACTTGCTCCTTTTTCCACGTATCTTGCGTCCCATCCAACATCGTGATCAGCGTTGACCATGCTTCACCGAGGCCCGCGAGGAGCGTCATGATCCAATCGTTGTCTTCCACGCTCGCGTCGAGTTCCACCAAGCGCTCGCCAAGCTCCTCCACGCGGTTGACGTACGCGCACATTGACTCGCCGTCCTTCATCCGCACCGTGAAAAAGTCAAGGCGCGCTTGAAGCTTGCTATGAAGTGACTTGGAGACGTGCTCTCCTTCGAGTCGCTTCCACGCTTCACGAGTCGCACCTTCACGGTCGATGCACGGACTCACGATAGGGACGAGTTGGAGACTTAGCTTGGAGACAAGAAAGGCAAATGCCTTGTTGTCCTTTCGCACCCACGCTTCCTTTTCCCCGGTTGAAGCGCCCGAAGAGGGCTTCGATGCCGACCCATCGAAAAAGCCCCACAAGTCGCGCTCCATCATGTAGACCTTGAGCTTGAAGAGCCACGAAGTGAAGTGCTCCCCGTTAAAAATTGGCACCGCGCTCATATCGACAACATGCGGTGTTCTCGAAAAGTCCGCCGGAAAGGAAGGGGTTGTTGGCGCATTCATCGTTGACAAAGTCTCGGTGGTACCCATCGCGTAGCAACGATTGAGCGAACACTCTTACTCTAGCTCTCATACCATGAAGGAAACCGTCTCACTCCTAGTGACGCCACAGATTCTACTTGGCGAGTTAGGAGCCAAGACTAAGATCGTTCCGACGGGCTCAGAGCAAGGAATCCGTGGCACTTTGAATCTCTGTAATCGCCTGAGAATTGAAAGACATACTTCCTATAATGCAAGGATGGGTACGTGACGAGTTGAAGTTAACTCTCTGGAATTTGCTCTCTGGTTTTATAGCTAAAACATGCAAGCACAATTGTAACATCGAACCGCGCGCGACTCGCCGGAAATTCGGACTCAATATCGTGTCCAATTTCTGCGACATCCGCGTTCACAATTTCGGACTTTGCCAGGTTCGTTTCTTGACGCCGACAATCGTGTGTTACAAGGAATAATAGCGAGTGTAGCGAAATGTTCGTAACATTCGCTTGCACTCTTGCTATTTTCGTGCATGCTTGTGGGGCTGCCAAGTGTCGCCCCCACAAATATTCGGACCCAACCGGGGGAAGTTCGGTTGCGTGGCGACGCGGACAATCCGCCGTCACCCCAACCTTCCAAGAACGAACCCTCCCTTGGTCCGAGTCAAGGGAGGTCTTTCGCGTGGGGGGCAATCCCGCCCCCCACACTTCCAACAGCGCCAGCGGGCCGAAGCCGTTGAGGAGGTGCGCGAGCAGCGGGCAGCATTTGATGTCGAGCGACTCGAGCGCGGGGAGGCGCGGGAGGGACGCAGGGAGGCGAGGGAGGGACGTGGGGAGGTGGGCGAGCACGGAGCAGCCTGTGAGCGAGAAGCGCCTGAGGGTGGGCAGCTAGCCGTTGGCGTCGGGAAGGGCGCGGAGGGCGGGGTAGTCGGTGAGGGAGAGCGTGCAGAGGAGGGGTGTGAGAGTACGCCGGCGTTCGACATATTTCTCATTTCCATATTTTTACACCATCTTATTCTCCTTATTTTCCTCTTTCATTTGCACTTTATTTCACCTCAATCGGACTACTATTCTATTTTCTAGAGCTTTCTGATTATTTCACTTATTTGGTATTTTCGGCACCGACATTTACATTATACGGCACCGACAGCACCGACAGTGGTGTACAAGGCGTAATCTCGGCATAATCCGAAGTGCCAATCATTGCGTGCTTATGCGCACTTGTGATTTTCTATTCTAGAAGAGCGCGTTCCCGAAGGTTCGGATTATCTGTTGTTTCTATGTATTTCTGA